CGAGGAGAAAAGATTTTTCACAATGAATATTATAAAGAAAAAAAAAAGAAAGAAAATTTTCACTTTGTGTGAAAAATTTGTGTATTACAATGATACAATCAAAATTACAATAACATTATCAAATTTCAAAGACTATTTCATTTTTGTTTTTTTTTTTCCTAATAAAAAGTGAATTCAAAATGAAAAATTTACCAATTCCAACAGCGGCAACAAGCGTAACCGCGCTAACCGGATTAAGCTTAACACCGGTAGCACCCATGAAACCTGCCAATTCAATAGTCATTGAAATGACCACAATTGTCACCATCATAGCTGCCCATGGATTAAAAATTAATATCGATATGACAAGAAATATTGCACTAGTAATTACACAAATGGCAACAAGCAGATTCCATCTGAAAAAGATGACAAAATTAAAAATTAAGAAATTATTGAAATGAAATAAATTCCTTCATCTGTGATTTACGCTAAATTTTACAACACTTCATCCATACTATCTTATAAAAAAAAAAGAAAAGTATTTTGAAAATGAAATTTTTTTTTAGAAGACAAATAACTAGAATTTCAAAGAAGCTGTCATAATTTAATTACTCTTGAAAAAAATTATAACTTTGGCTAATTTTTTTGGGTTAGAATTCTTTACTCTTAATTCTTAATAGAATTTTTAAAAAAGAAATTAATCTGCTATGACCTTAAACTGAGATATTGCTCCCAGAATATGAATGCGATACCGGTTGGAAAATTTGGTAAGCCCAATTCTGTGTATCGATCACAAACACTTCGAATTTCCTGCAAAAATATTCTTTAGCCTTTTAATAAAAATTTCTCAATCATTGTCAAAAAGTTGGCATTACTTTATTTTATAGTCTATATTATTTCTTATATTTATTTATTCAGATGGAAATATTTTTAATTATAATATGCAGTATAATAAATTTTATCAGATATAGAAGAGTCGAAGTTATCATAAAAGCATAAATTTTGCATAAATAATTAAAGTAGATGAAGAAATTATAAAATATTTAAATCGAAATTTATTAAGTTCATAAAAGTTTAAATAATTCTTTTATTATTTCACAGCTATGTAAAATGAAAAATGAAACTCAGACGTCTTACTCGTATCATTTTCACAATCACAGGTGTATCAATTAAATTTGTAAGATAGAATGGTAT